GCTTTCCAGATACAGGTGTAATTTTATAAACCCCTTATATTCATTATAGCGGGCTGATTTATGTCACATTTTTAAAGCTTTGAAAAGTGCTGCTCAGTCAGGATTACAGAGCATACCGGCATACACCTTCTGAAATTTGCAGCCATTTCTTTCCTGTGGCGGTCCTTTCTTGGCAGGTGATTATAAATGCCAAGTTTGTGTCGCTTGTAATAATCCCTCTCATTTCCTCTGCTCCACGGCTGTTTGTACGGGTACTTCCATGTAGTGCCTAAAGTTCCTGTTTTTAAAGATTGATTATGCACGCCGCGCAATCTGGCACACCATCAGTCACACGCGCACAGCCTTGAATAATGCAAGGTCCAGCGTAGTACAGGTCAGTGTCTTCCCATTATTATGCGTTACCCTAACCTGTCGTTACTCTTCAGAATGACATTTCATATCATGCGAGCAGACAAAAATCGTTCATTGTCATGTTTGTCTTTCCCTACCTGTTCGGGCATATTTTGTATAATTACATCATATTGAGTCAACGTTATCTCTTAATGCGAGGAAAACAATGACAACCGCCTACTGCCTTTGGTTTCCCTTATGTAGGCTTTCAAAACTGAGTTGCGTTATCAAAACTCTTCACTGGGTCTAGCGAAAACATTTCACCTCCTTCAGCCTTGCCCATGATCCAGTCTTCCAAGGGGACTTTTGTGTAACCGATGTTGGTGCTTAATTATGGAGATACACTCTGCGTATTAAACCCAGGAATGTAAACGCAAGAATCAAAAACCAAAGGAAGGTGAATAAAATTCCTGCTATCGACCAAAATCCTTAAAGTAATGAAATGAATAAAAAACGACAAAATGCACAGTACAGCATAAAACCGAACCCGAACCCAAAACGAAAACCAAAACCCCTAAACCAAACAAAACCTAAATAAAACGATAAACCAACAATAAAACTAAATCCACCCCCCAAATCTAAACTAATACCCAAACCCAGTACCCAAAACCCAAGACGCCGAATTCCAACACCCAACATCCAACACTCAAAACCAGCTGAAAGACCAGTGCCAAAAACCAAACCTAAACCAAGCCCCAAACCAACATCAAACAACCGACCACCAAAAGAACGATTGATTCTCGACCGTTGGTTGGCAAGTATGACTGATAAGTCCCAGTGGTTTGGCTAAATTGCTTTTTGGATGCGATTTTGATCTTTCCAGGTTTTGATAAGGATTTGTAAGCGAATATAACTGATTTGCATGAGATGGGCGAACGAAATACATGGCACACAAAGAATTTTACTCTTACGTATGTTACCTCCCGTGCCTCTGTGCACAAGTTAGTTGAGAGTTAGAGCAAGCGCACTCAATCACTTTATAGTGGTTTTCGAGGGAGGCGACGTGGGACATCGTTCCTACACTTCTTTTCGTTGATGGAGACCATAATTTATTTTTAACGAAATACCAACAAATATAATTCACGGAGATAACCTGATAACTTAAACTTGATTAAACAACATTCTACCACCGTTCTATATCATGAACCCAGGTGCACAAAATTCGAAACAAATTCTGAAAAGTGATTGAAAAAAATTGACACAAGAGCATTTGAAAGAAAATACGGCTTTCCCATTTTAAAGCCGTGTGTATCAAGACCCGATAAAAACATCGGTAGTATATTCAAGTTATTGTGAATTGACTATTTTGCACGAGAATCATTTGTCCGTAGTAGTGCATATATACGTGCGTTGATAGACGCACATGTGCACACATAAATCATGGCCGACCATCAATCGACAGGGAGCCAAAGTTGAAATTGATAGAACTAACAAAGGATAATTCGCAGTAGCTTAAACATAACATGGTATCCTTTTTCGGAAACTCTTTTAATTACAAAGATACGCAGCATCTGTGGAAAAACTGGATAACAACTCAAACTTGATTTTAAATCGACCTTTTTCTACATTCGGAAATGTAACGTACACGGACATCTTTCACCCCATTATCTCAGAAATGTCTGCGCTTATGGTTAACAAGATACATATTTCAAAATGAAATCTGAAACCTTATTTTGTTTTTCTGGTATAAATGCAGCAATTTTTTTACACAATGAAGAAGATCTCCGCAGGTAGATTTTGGTAAAGTTGTTTGCCGGCGTCGCCATTTTAACTGGCAACAGAAAGTGGCCACGACTTTGCCTAATTTTAGCGCATGCGTACAAACTAAGTGGAAGGGGTGAACATACGTGCTCCCAACTAAGGAGAAACAAGTTCATAACAAATACGATCATGCATAAAAGTTGTGTTCCAAAAGTTTCAATAGACATACTCAGAGATTTAACGGGCTTATAGTTGCCATGGAGCTGTTACTTCAAATGACTTTTTTTCGGATGTTAAAAATCTCATTTTCCCGTCTTTTATCCCGTAAACAATATTGTTACAACTGGCTTTTCCTGTACGTTGAAGGCAACGTGTGTGAAAAGCGCACTACCCTGAATATTTTATGAAGGAAAATGTAATGTGCGACACACTATTTTTCAAAAAGGGAAATACCTCACTTTCACTTATCAGATGCATATCCGAATTCCATGATGCGTATTGAGCCCATATAATTACACTGACACAGGCCCACCTGTACACAAAATCGTTTCATATAATGTTTTCGCTTTCGTGTTGTAGACCTTTCTTGTGCTCCATCACTGTCGCACTTTGCAAAGTACGGTGCCAGAGAAAAATTAAAGTACAAGGACTCACAAAATGGTAAATTTCACGAAACTAATGCAGAACCTAACTTATAGGCACTATACTACAAGTGCTGAAGACAAACAGCCCCTCTTTCAAACCAAATTTAAACCAGACGTGCATATGATGCGAAATTTTGCCGACTCAAATGAGGAACACTCTTCGTGAAGGAAAGGAACTAGGCTATAAGCCCCAACGGTGCAATAATCAAATACGTGGATTCCAGAAATCGATCTCAGCAGAGAAAGTTGGAACCAAATATATCACATTGACATAAAAGTGAAACTTTGAATCGATGCGGCATTAATAAGTTGCAGCCTTGAAAGCAGGCTGCCGCGACATGTCGATACTTATTCATTTACCAGCTTAAAGGAACGTGTTGACTTTGTCAAAATGTGATTTCAAAGAAGCATACAAGGCTGGACACAGGTGCCCACCGTAAAGTCCATCGAGTTCTGGCGCCAATGCCCATACTTCCGCCTGCCCAATAAAAGCCCGCGGTAAATTTAATAACGGCTGCAAATTTCTGCCACTCATAGCGACAGTGGCTTCGTTGCACGCCGTGTGATAACGGTAATTTGATCGTGTTTTTGTCCCACGTGTCTAAGCCCCGTGCATTAGGCACATTGAAACAGGATACAGATAAAACTGGCACATCATTGAAAATTATTTGACGGTCGTTTCCTTTCTAGAACCTATTGACCAATTTATTTCGCGTCTGATTTTAAATTGAAGAATATTGGCATTTCAGACGGACCAGTGGCAGCCAAAAATTTGTTTTGAAATTGAGTTACAGTTTCTACGTGTATTCCACACAAAAAACTGCCTCGAAGAAAAGTTCTGTTTCAAAAATTAATTTGAAAGAGTAATGTTTTACTACTTCCTTCTTACATTTTCCCTACTTGCCTCTCTCCTCCAAGGAGTATGAATGAGCATCTGTGCGGGTGGGCGCAGTATCTTATGGACTGATTCTAGTACGGAGTTCATAGTTTGGGATCTAACAGATCTGGAGTTGGGCAACAGCGGCTGCTACTTATTTTGTGGCGGCTGCCAGATAATAAGTGGCGGCCACTACATTAAAAATCGATGGCACCCCATCCAATCGCTGTGTCTTGACAGAACGAGCATTCGAGAAAAAGCACGGCGGCTGTCAATGGACGTTGCGCGAAACAGTCGAAATCAGGGTCTGGGTGACAGACTTTTGACGTTGCATGGGGACACATGGGGGGGGGACAAATTTACCAGGAGAGGACAAATTTACCTAGGTAAATCTGTCCCCCCGACACTTTTACCAGGGTGCGCTCCGGGGCGCGCGTCAAGCTGAAGAATGTGCATGTGAGTGCGGTAAACTGGATTAGTTTACAACTTTTGAACTGACCTGGTAGACCATTATCGTGGGCAGCATTGGACAAGTTCAGGGACAAATAAAAGTTAAGCAGTGGTTGATTTTGATAGGTGATCTATGCATGAAATGTTTACTGGGCACCGAACAAAATCGCCCAGTAGTTAAATTGTCCATATGATGGAATTTTCCCATTCCTAATTGCAAAGGATAGTTACGTGACCACAACTTCTGGGGTAACCGAAAGTACAGTGGTATGGGATTACAACTCGAAGACAAGAATTTCTTTTTACACCCAACCAACGACAAAATGTTATGAGTGGTATGCTGAGCACTAAACGAGGACTGCTGACGTCATAACCTGACACGGTACCCTGTTAATGTCAAACCAAAGACAGTGATTGTTTTACATGTGAGATTTGTTTGCCTTGGTCCACGAAATTATCTTTGTGACCTTTCAATGGCGCCATCATCCCCGAAGCCATCGATTGGACAATTTTTGAGAAGATCTGTTTCCTCTTTATCCGACTTCGATGTTGTCTATGCATATACTTCAGAGACGTTATCTTGCGCAGGTGACGAGACCAAAGCCGGAATCGATGTCGCTTAATCATGTTGTGTTTGTAACTAAAACAAACATGTCCTGTCAAGTAATAATTACACATATCATCTGTCATCAGTAAATGTAATTTTTTTCCCGTATTCTGGAGGGGATGAGAAAATGTTTCCGCAGGAAAGCTTTCAAATTAAGTTTTAAATAGACGTTTTTGCAAGATTACATTGATTTCGCATTGAGAACGAATTCATTTTATTATCTGTGTCAGGGAACTCAGGAAAAACAGGGAAATATATCATAAACCAATAAATATCCAGTACAGCCCTATTGTAGCTTCGTGAAATAATCCAATTTTTTGGGGGTCAACAGATCGGCAACTCTTGTACTTTTTGAAGATGAAGTATTGAGATAAGAAGAAATTCGAAGGACACGGGTGAGTAGCAAATCGTTTCCACCGCTTCTTTGCAGGTAATCTAGCACAAATCTAATTTGTTAGTTTAGGCTACTGTAATATTTTTTATCATTTTATATATATAAGGCACCTCTCGGATTGTGCAATTTGTCCCAACGGAAAATGCTGTACTCAAATCGGTTCAAAAGTAGGTTTTGACCCAGCGCAAGCCGAGTATTTATTGCCTGTATTTATTATGCCCATACGGACAACACCATTGAAGCCTCCATTATCGTGACAATAATTCTGTGAAACTGCACTTTATAAACATCGTGCAACCTTTCCGGAACTGCATTAGCGGACATCGCGGGGGTTATGGCGGTAGTGCATTCGAAATGAGCGGGACAGTTCGGTCGGTTTATATCCGAAGCTCAAAATTTGATTTAAGGCATGACCGTCTAGCGGTGACAGCGCGCGCTTCACTTCGAAGGACCGGCACTAATGCGCCGCTGAAGAGGGACCTTTGGACTCAGGTATATGAGAGGAGAAATCTTCATTTTGGAGCGATCAGTGTCATAAATCTGCCCTGCGCTTTGGCCAAGCATTCCTTTACAAGTTATGGGGGTATGTGAAGTAGTCAACAGGGTATTAAGAAGAAAAGATGAGCTTCAGGGAAAATGTAGAGTCTTTCGATAAAAGTTTGCAAACATGTGGGTGGTCGGCTCAAATCTCTGAAGTAGGCAGAAATTGTAGCAGGTGGTATGATGTATTATTTACATTTTGAATGAGTTATCATGACGCTGAAAAAACTGAATGAAAATAGACGGGAACGGGCAAAATTGAATACATACAAAAATCGAGGCAGAAATTAGACATTTCAATCGAGCAATCACTGCTCTGGTGTCGCATGCTTTTAGAAGTATAAACCTCCGAATCCACATGTTGACCTTTTCAGGCGGTCCACATTGTGAATGTGAGATGAAAGCGAAAAAAAAAATGTAAATACGTTCAGCTGATGTAGTTAAACGTGGCAGCGTCACGTATGAAAATACTGAAATGACATTTGGAAAGCTTTTGCAATTCGGAGTATCTATGGAAAACTGACTGTCGGTTGCAACTGGATCTTGTTCTAAAAGGTAGCATCAATACCTGAGGTAAGCCTTCAGAATGCATAATGTAACCCTACCACACGATGATGACAAAGTTCCTGCCAACGGAAATGCCACCTCTCGCTTGTTCACAAGGCCGTTATATACTTACGAAAGCACCCCGCTTGATGAGGTGACATGAATAACCCAGGTTGTGTAGATACTCTGTGGAAAGTGTTTTGATTCAAGGAGTTGAAACGGGAGCGCTGAATTAATGCAAGCACTTCCATTTCGTCGCAATCACACTGTTGAAAGTTGGTGCATATACTATACAAATTAATTGCATACAGACACGTAGGAAAAGGATTCTACCGGGGGGGGCAGAAAAAGAAAATCTCTCTGTGTAGAGTCCACTACTGCATGAGATCGTGAGCGCTTAGCGCGAAGCCTTTACGGCATAGGTCCTGGGCCCGTTTAAGGGCCCCGAAAAAAATGTGCATAGTTTGATGCTCTGGAAGGCATGATGAGTCTTACAGTGACTAAAACGCATTTTGAGAAATAGATATTTTGAAATATTTTGAAATCGTTTTTTAAAATCAAAATCCATGTTTAAGGATGATCTTAAAATGAAGTTAAGTTTTGTACTTAAATAATTAAGATTTGATGGAATAATTAAATATTCAAGAATGAGAAATCTTAAGATGCACATAATGAAGGTGCTGTTTTGTAAACTCGTAACAGTAAAAGCTTCAAACAGCAGCATTAAAAATAAACAAAATCAAAAGCCCAAATTTTGTGGAAGAAAATTGTGGTCATCTCAGAATAAGTATTGGCAAGTCTAAACACTCATTAGTAGTGGAGCTTTCCTTATAAGAAAAGAAAAATCCTTTAACTTTTTGCGCACAAACCAACCACGATGTTGAAGCTTTGCCTTTGATAACATTACAAACTTGCTCATAAGCTATGGGTATGTTTTATAAAGGGGTCAGCAATTAACATTAAAATGTGTACCCGAGACAAAAAAATGCAAAAAACAGAGAAACGAAGAAATAAAAAAAAACAAATATAAAAAAGGATTTAGAAATTTGAATTTGGTGGTATGTGCGATCGTTGACTTAAAAACAATTTAGACCGGTGAACGTGGCCCGCCAAGGAAAGGTGCCATTGAATTTGAAAACTCTCGATCATACAGCATCGCTGGGAATGAAATATGCGTTTAATTTTCAAAGTTTAAATAACGATTGCTGTTATGAGAGGCATTTGCACAAAACGTTGTCTGTGAACTTTGAGCTGTGTAGGATCTGTCATTCCGACGAAATCTTGGGGGAAAATTGAAATAATCCCGACGATGCCATGTGATCGAAAGCTTTTCAAGGGCACCTTTCCACGGCGGAGTACACCTCGTCAATGATCTGGAGCTGGCCAAGTTTATCCAAAAGGTAAACAGGATCAGTAATCACCTTGGTCTGAAAAAATCCTTTGAAAATAACTTTTGGCGTTTCACGCCTGAAACTGAATGTTCTTTCATCTTTGGATTTTAGACAACAGTTCTTTAGACTTTAGTGCAGTCCGCCAAAGTGGCCAACTTTTACGTTCACTTGACTTTCCCCACACAGCGTTGTTAAACTTCTTTCTTGTTAAGCCTATAAATTGGTACTATTATCTTCATGATGCATGGTGTTGATCCTTTGTAAACAGTTTCAGTGTTATGAAATTTCATTCGAAATCCTCCATTTGGCGGCTTCCGGAAATTGGGCTCAAAATTAGCTGAGTTTTACCTAACGTAATGCACTTGAAATTATGTCATAGAAAATCCCTCATAAACATGTACAAAATCCTTTGAAGTTGATATCATTCTGGTAAAACATAATTACTTCCACTCAAATATGCATCCACAAGTTTGTTAGAAAATTCTCTTCCCATTGTTGGGACATTTTAAAAGAGTTCATGTCGCACGTCGGAAGAAATTGAAAAATCGAGCGAAAATAAAATTTCATCCAAACTTTGTAGCAGGTACGATAAATCGAGATTTATGAATCAGAATGTGAAGGAGATTGAAAAATTAATTGTGAAATTTGAGCTCAAAATATTGCTCCCTTAAGACAAGAAGCGAAAAATTGAAGTGTGCCACGTTCGGGGAGCACCACTTTTGTGTCCCTTCATGGGTACATCAAATTGATAAAATTCTTGATCCGCGCTTGTTACTTCGTCACATGTATCGTTCAAAGTTTGCTTATTTTATGGTGTCATTTTGGTTACCGCAATGTAAAGAACTGTGAGGCGTAACATCTACATGTTAAAGATATAAAAGCTTACTATACCTGGTCCCCTGTCTTACAATAGAGATGTCATAAAGGGGACCAGTCAACAATCCTTTTATTTGTACCGCACGATCCTCGCTAGCATCATGTCATGCGCTGCGGGAAACAATATGGATATTTCGTAGATCCTGATTGAAAATGAATATATTAAAATTTCCATTTTTCCAATGTGATTTGAGTAAAATTATCACACTCTGCTAAGTAACAACTACTATCCACATTCGAGAATGAAAATTACACACCTTTTTTACAGGAGCCCTCCCCCATGCACTGTATTTTCAGGGGGCCAGTGCCTCCGGCCCCCCTCCCCGCTGTCCCTACATGCCTGGTATGTGACATCGACAAAATGTGTCGCACTTCAACCCCCTCTAAATTGGACAAAGGGATGAATTTAGTTCTTCTGGTGGATAATCTTACTTATGCTTAATTTATATTTAATAATCTGACTGTTCTTTATGTTGCTGTGTGTTAGGCGTATGTTGTTTTTAATTTGTTTTAACGAAATAGCATTTGACTACGAAAGTGTGGAATTGAACATTGTCGCCCCTAATCGCACTTGAATAGCGATTAAAGCTACCCGGCGGTGCTGCACTACCAAATGATGCTGCACAGCTTTCCGCAGACAAGCATAAGACGTTCCTATTCGTGATGTGACTGTCATGGAAGTCTATTTTCAAAAAAGTAGGGTATCAGGGAAATAATGTATTTATTTCTGTAACTCTATCCAGAAAAAGAACATGAAAATTAAACAATACCAAGGAGTTTTTTTCAAAAATAATTACAAAACTTTGGTCAAGCTGAACTGTTTTGCGCTGTCAACGCATGGATAATTTGGCTTGATCAACAGCCTGCACGTTGGCAGAGTGGTACCGTAACGGCTCATTGTGATGGTAATACGGCGACAGGTTTTCAACGATACGCTACTACTAGCGAATGGAAAGATCGATGCAGTCAAGGATTGGCCCACAATGATGCTAATATTCCAGGAATATGATAATAACTGTATTGTTCACCGTAACACAAGGTTGCCTTCGCTGTGTACGATTTACTAGTATTTTGTATCATCCTAGGCGAAGAATGCATTTTCCCCATAAGTAATTGAGTTCTACGTGTTCACCCGCCAGTTTTATGTACTTTTCATCTGTTGAGGTTGGACGTGTATTTGCTTCTTCAACAGAACCGAAACGAGAGTTTTTTTTCTATCAAGTGCATTTTGTGTGGCTCTGCATGAGGAGAGAAAAAACATACGTGTAATGCCTTTAGTTTTCGTAGTTAAAATGGGATTTGGCAAATGGGCAGATGAAGATACGTTTTCTAAAGCGTTTGTCTTTTTTCATCTGAAAAGAATCCTCACTCCTGCCAATGAAAGATGGCGGCACCATCGCTTAGGTTCTTGCACTTTCAATTCCTAATTAAATAATGCGACAGTTCGGGGGGGGGGAAACTGCCTCCCTTCCCGTTGGATTTGCCCCGGCAGTATCTCAATTTAAGGACGAAAATTAAAAGCAAAACTAAATTTTAATAATTCGTTTTCTATAAATCATTTTGCACATGACCGAAACCAAAGCAAGACCACCTGTTCAAACATTTCAAATATTAATTTGTGCTTAATGTCTTTTGTGTGCATGATTGT